AATAATTGATCCAGCTAAATCAAATTGGTTGGCAAAAGATGATTACAAATTAAAAACAGTTGTCAAAAGATGCTTGCAAAAGATGCTTGCAAAATTATTGAAGTGGCTAGAAAATAGTTGGCATAATAATTATACACTCATATTATAACAAAGTGGTGGTGACATGATGAAATTATAACACAATGTCATAACGTAATGGATAAATTCTATGATGGAATTATGCTCTTTGTTGGAATATCACTTATGAGTTGTCTCACATTGATTTGATAGGGTAAATGAGTCTAGTTTATACGCCTAGTGACCTACTCATTCCTTCCACCAATTGGTTTTGAGGTAGAACCTCACTAAGGTACACTCACCATCTTATGGTGCGCTTCACTTTGTGGGACCGCACCCTTGATGCTCCGATTATCAAAATTTGGCATGATATCAGAGCGGGCCTAATTTGGGATCTGGGATGATTTAAAAATGTACCCGGCCTGGTTGTAGGCACGGGATTATGATGATGATTAAATGTACCCGACTTGATTGTAGGCTTGGGTTGATGAAGGACTCACAAGTGAAGGGGCAAGTGAGTGGACTCATTGATTTGATAGACTAAATGGAGTCTAGCGCCCCAATTATCAAAATTTGACATGGTATCAGAGCGGGCCTAATTTGGGACCTGTGATGATTTAAAAATATACCCGGTCTGGTTGTAGGCTCGAGATTATGATGATGATTAAATGTATCCAACTTGGTTGTAGGCTTGAGTTGATGAAGGACTCACAAGTGATGGGGCAAGTGAGTGGACTCACTGATTTGATAGACTAAATGGAGTCTAGTTTATAAGCCTAGTGGGCTCTCCTCCCTTCAACCAATTGGTTTTGGGATGAAACATCACTAAGGTGCAACAGACTCACTCTCTTATGGTGCGCTTCACTGGGACCGCACCATTGATGCCCCGATTATCAAAATTTGACATTCATACTATAAAGTATTAATTAAGGCTAGTATTATAACCACGTTCCATCGATTCATGTTTCTTATTAAATAATTAAATCATAATACTAATCCTCCTATACATAATTTTCGAATGTATTACGTCTATGTGGCATGCTCGGACACTTCAAAATCATAAGTGAAAGAATACCATGCTTCAGAGTAAGACTTAGATAATAATTAATATTATTTATACAAAAATATTAAACTTGGATTACATTAAATGTCTATATTATTCACATTAAATTCGAGATTATCTTTTATTTTATGATTATGATATGTAACATATTAATACATGATTTATGTACTTATTTCACCCATCGTAAAAAACTTTCCTTTTAGAATTTCTATTTAGAATTAAAGAAAATAAAAATTTAACATATTCAAACATTATTCTGAAATAATACTCACAAAAAATACTTTTTTTTTTTTCCTTTCTTTTACTTATACCTTATTACAATACAATATTTTGATTCCTAAAATAATGACGGTAAAGTTGAAAAATTGTGGCAAATGTTATACACAAAAATTTAATTTAAAAAGAATGTAGTGTTTCGACGATCTATCAACAACTGTTTTAGTTAAGAAATTAAGGATGGACTAAGGATAATTTATAGGAAATATTTGTTATAACGACATGCAAATTGAATGGAAAGTACAAGAAAGTAAAGACGTGCACTTCAACGCCCCAATTTATATGCTGAAAAGGTAAAAAAATCAATAATGATAGTGTGCCACTTTAGGGGCTACATGGCCGACGTGTGTTGTCATGCAAATTCGACTTTTGGGGATGGGACATGCATTTTTGGCTTTTCATGATGGGACCGGTTGAACGACCGACTTACTGTTTTCATTGTCAGAGGTCATTCAGACAGCACAAGAGATCGACAATGATCTTCTACAAAGGGATCGACAATTATCGCATAGCTTTTGGGCCTGTCTTGCTTGTTTCATGGGCTTTGGCTTAGTTGGGCAGCCATACTTTGTAGGGAAATGCTATATTGACAACCTAGTGTACAACTAGGTTGACAACACAAGTAAAAACATTCACTTGTGTATTTTTTAATTGATGTTTTCACTTGTGTTGTCAACCTAGTTGTACAATAGGCTGACATAGTAACATTTTTTTATTTTGTATTTTTTTATGGGCCTAAATTCCGCGAACGTGTACAACAAGAGGGCTCTTAGGTTTCTGGATCATCAAGGGGATTGTCAGTTCACTGGGGGATTCAGGAAGTTGTTTGCTAGTCTTATCATAGAAAAGTTAGCGATCTCAGATCAATATTGAAATTTCGCACGCGATAAAAAATAACGGGTTCAGTGTAAGTGGGGAGCCATTCAGTCTTTAATAAGGAGAGAGAGATTATAAGGCCGTTTCATGAGTGCATCTTTTGGTGGGATAAGTGACGTTGTTTGAAGATGACGACGTTTCCCCTTTCGTGCAAATCGATGTACCCTGTCCAATCTTGTCGAGTACATTTTAAAATTGATGTAAGCCTATAAATAGATGGTCAGAATTTACCTCCTCTTGGACTTTTGCCTTCATTTTCTTTGACGAACTTTTATAGACTGGGTTGCCGGGACGCGATTTTGAACAAGACATCAGTACTTTGCGAGGTAATTTCAAGTCTCTTACTTTCTTCTTATCTCAATAACCACATTACGTCGGAGAATAGCCAAGATTTTGATATGGACGCGGTGGATGTTGCGTTAAAAGGCGATCGAGTTGATCATATTAGAGAGTCGATCGTCACTAAGAGTGGAATCCAACATATTCAAAGGTGGATGGAAAAGAAATATGTTAGGCCGATGCCTGAGGGTTATTGTAGACAACCATCTTTAGAAGAATCGAAGAAATCTGGTGAGATGGATATCTGCCAGAAGTATTTTGAAGGATGCTAATGTGGTAAAAGCTGAGGCAAAAATTAGGGGTGCGATCACTATGAAAATATTTGTGTCGTACAAAGATGAGCGGATCCATTCTCCACCACTGGAGGGCATTCAATGCGTAGGAAATTTATGGTTTCTCCTCCCACAAATATTTTTAAAGTATACACGAGAGTGGGGGATTGACGTGAGCCAAATCACCCGAACACCTGGTATCGACTCTAATGGAGAAACTAGATTTAATTATGATGTGAAAGACGTCCAAATCGAGATCTGGGTATTTTCATTTCGCACCGAGAGACGATAAGTATGCAGTCAGTGACGAACCTCCCTGAGTATCGTTCCAAATGAAGACAAAAATGGTTTCGGATCTCCGGAGATTGGAAAGAAGCGAGAGTAGCAAATGCGACGCACCCAAGTGGTGCAAATTGAGCTGGCGGAAAAGGCGAGTAAGTGATAAATACTTATAATAAAAAATATTAAATATATTTACTTATTTGATAGAATTACCTTATAAGAAAACTAATTCATATAGTTTACATTTATGCGAAGCTTAATAAAATTTATTCTAAAATTTAAAGAAAGAAACTAAATTTTAAAAATATATCTAAATATTATTATACATGATAATCTAAATATATATTAAATTTAAAACTTAAAATATTTAGATAAAATATTAATTATTCTTATAAGAAAATAACTGAAAATATTATTCGTGAATAAAAATCCTATTTTTAAAAAATTAAGAATATATTAAATTAATATATATAGTAAAAATTATTAAATAACTTAGTAAATTACCCAAGTAAGAAAATTAATTCATATAAGTTACATTCACGCAAAATTTTAGAAAAAAAAAAAAAAATTAAATATGGATTGATATCTAACTATCTAATTAAAATTAGAAAATAAAGTACTTAAAAAATTTTTAGTTTTTTCCTAAGCATCACTATTGATTTTTTGTATTTCATTTTTATCGTCATTCATAGTTCCAAGCATCATTAATAGTCAAGCTTAGAAAAAAAAATTAACTCTAGAAAAATTATTTTCTAATTTTATTACATGTTTAAAAAGTAAATAAATAAATTGAAATAATATTTAAATAATATATTTCAAAATAATATTACAATAATAATAACTATTCATAATCATTTTCAAAATAGCAATTTTGTATAGGAGCAATATTTTCAATAATATTAATGATAAAAAATACTATACTTTCTAAAATAATTATTTTATAATTTTATTATATATAATATCCATTAATATATTATTTAAACTATAAATTCCTAAATTAAAATTTCAATATTTTTTAATTTTAAAGTAATTTTCATCAAACTTCAACCCAAATGTAGCCTAAATGAATTAATTTATACTAAGGTAATTTTACTAAAGATACTAAAATTTCTTTATTACACATTTAAAATTCAAATTTTTAAAATAATAATATTTTGATTTACATAATTATTTAAAAATATAATATTAGTTGGGATATTAAATTGAAGACTAGAATGTAAAACTAGACCTATAATGAGAATAACTTAAAATTGGAACTCACTATTAAGAAAGTTGAAAATTCAACCCTATTGTGACACAGTACTAAAAAATCAAGTTCTACGATGAAATTTACCTAATTCAATACCCAATTCTGTAGTCACAGTTAATTTTCAATTTGACATACAATCATTGTTCTCCACTCTTTATGCAATCAACTTTAGTTACCGCATTGTCTGCAAAAAGTATTAGATAGTAACTTAATGATTCGACAAGTTATAAGACTAGTAACAACAACGATGAGTCCGAGTCCTCACACAAGGCAAAAGCTAATTACGACGTCGTTATCTCATCCAGAAAGTCCTGAAGTTTTTCCAGGTCTGCAACAAACAGACCTACAAAATTAAAAAGCCATAATTCAACAATCAATTATTGGATATTGATATCAGCAATCTTCCGGTAAAATCATCGGACAAGTTGAACTTAAACAAGCAATTGCAGAGTTACCATTTCCACGAGGCATCCTGAGCACATCATCAACAAGCCTTGCACGCTGTCTGTCCTCTCGGTCGCGTTGAATTTCCTCGATCCTTTTCCTTTTCAAATTCAGCAATCTTGCACGAAAATCTGATGCCATGTTTGTCAAGTCTGCAGCAGGCATAAACAAGCCATGTATATAACAATGTGATTATCAACTGATTCTCGGACCCAAGCAATTAATGGAAGCCAGAAACTGCAAAGTCAATAATGTTTCACTTATCTATAACTCTCTTAGGAGGGAGTTGTTTCATGAAAAATTTGGATTGCCAAAAATGCCCTTCACTATAATTAATTTCCAAAGTCAGTAATGTAATTTAATCACTAATGTAGGGAGTTATAATTATTAACTTTCATTTTTCAATAAAGTTAAATTAAATAATACTACCTCCGTTTTAAATTATATGTCGTTTTGACTTTTTTGATTCATCCATTTTGCTATGTATGTAGACATTATTATTATCTAGATACATAGCAAAATGGATGAATCAAAAAAGTCAAAACAACATATAATTTAAAAAGGAGGGAGTAGTAGTATCAAGTATTATATGTTTAAAAATGGTAGAAGCCAAAATATAATTCTCCTATATAACTAACAATTTTTTTTTTTAATTTAATATATTTATTTAACTAATAGAAGAATATATAATCCAACAATAGAAATAGTTTTTAAAAATTTAAATTATTCTAAAAAAATATTGTCGATTTATTATTCAATTTATCTCCTAATATTAAGTTAATTAAATGATAAATTAATAATATTATTCTTTGTAATTAATAAGGTTACTTTTGCTTTTGATATTTTTTTAGATAATTAAATTTTTAGAAGATTCCGACTAATATAATTTAAGTTCACCTTTCAGTAATACACATAGTATAAGTATTTTTTCCATACTAATATGTTGGATTTATATATCATTTATTTTAATTTTAGCACGAATAAAAGATTAAAATAATTATAAAAAATAAATTAAAATAAAATACCAAATAGGCGACAAAATCATAAATCTTATATACATATATATCTAATTCTTACAAAATAGTTACCATTAGAATCATTTAAATGAACATAATGAATACGTTTACCTAACATTCGATGTCATGGTAGAATCATTTAAATGAAAATCATGTATATAAAATATTAATCAAATTTGAAAAAAATTAAATTAATTCAAAATAAAATTATTGAGTTGTAGATATATATATATATATACGTGTGTAATATTTAAAAAAATATATAATTTTAACAAATCGAGTGTAAAATATAGGTATTAAATTCAATAACTAACTTTGTTAATTTTTTAATTATTAGTTCTATAATTATATTTTATCATTATACTTTAAAAATATATATTTCTTTTGATACAAATAGTTTATTTTTATTTTAATGCACTCCTACGGGTGTTATATTGATTGTAGAATAAATTAAATATTCTATTCAATTTTTAAAAAACAGAAAAATCTTAAATAAAATAAATAATATTCCATGAAAAATTATTTCTATATTTCAAATAATATTACAAAATATTTTATTCTATTATTAATTATTTATAATTTTTATTTCACAATAAGAATTTCATTTCTTTTTTCATTCATTGTTGCACAATTGTTTTTTTTTTTT